ACAAAAAAGTATTTATCAGATTGTATGAACTGTTTATGAACAGATGCATTTATGCAGATTGACTCATTTCTATTTGGATCAATTCAAGTACAACCCCCATAACTGGTAACTAACTTAATAGAATATTTCACTTGAATATAGAACATATCTACAATGTAACCCTTCTACAGTCTAGTTAGGCATCCAGAAATCACCCTACATTGTACATTACATTGAGAAAAGCTCTTACTCATAACAGTTGTATTGCAGTGGCACTTACCTTGGCACATGCTTCAATGTGATGCTGCAGTATGGCTACACCAGCTACAGGAAACAAGGGTTTGGGCACTTCAAATGACAGGGGCCTGAACCTTGTGCCTGGAAAGCAATGTGGGGGATTACTCTTAAATCAGATTACAATGCATTTCCCATTTTAATCCATGTTTCTAGTATGCGCTATTAGTATCTTGTATGGATACAGATAACTCCTTAACTACAACAAAGGGGATGCCATGTCCTCTCACATTGCAAAACTATTTTAAAACTTCTATATAAAACGTAATTCCTGTTAAAGCTCCACTTGCTTTACATTTACGGTACTTATATCTTAATATGTATGAACTGAATGTCTGCCGAACTGAAAAGGGTGTCGTAACGCAAAGATAACACGTATTATTAAACACTTTCCTTTAGTAAAGGTACTTTATCATCCTAAAAAACTCATTTATAAATGGGATTAAGTTGACTTGATACGAGATAATGGCTCTACAAGGAGATTAAATGAGCAAATGATAATAAATAGTAGGCAGGGTATAAACAGCAACATAACTGTAATAGCTACATGTATAGACAGTGTTGTTATTTACATAGCGTAATTTAACGTTGTAATCATCAAGTGATTAGGCTATTAGGTCATTTGTTTGTGTGCGGTTCCCTCATTATGCCACGTCAGTGATATAAACAAGCTCTTCGGGTTTTTGGAGTTCTTGTTGGTATTAGCCACCTAGCTTCGCTTTAACGAAGCACAGCTGACTCTGAAAACACGATAGAAAGGAGTTGTGTTATGCTCACCTTTTTGGGGGCCTCCAATTAAAATAACCGCCTTCAACATCTTGACTGAGAAGCTTTAATTTGTGACAGACGAGGTGCCTGGAGACTACACCTGTAACTGTTTGGTGACACTTCCGTATCCACTTCCGGCTTGTGACGTTGACGTTATCAGAATAAAAGCACGGAGTAGAGTGCAGTCTGTGTGAAAGTGAGTGGAGAAGACTTTAGACGTATTATACAAAATCTATTACCAATACATATACCTACCAATACAGTTTTAAAAGGAACATTTCGTTTTCCTATGGTTGTAAACGAATAGAACAACCAATCAGACAACAGTAGTTTAAACAGCCCTGTCTCCTGTGCAGACTCTCAACTGTTGGATATGGAAGTAAATCTGTACCATCGGATTTTGAAATTAAAAAGCAATTGTATTAATTATAACACTGAATAATTATGCATTGAACTAATGTATCTACTCGTTTTCACTTTTTTGATTAAATGTTTACAAATTTAGAATCCAAATGTCACTGTTAAAATATTCAGTATATTTATATTCAAGTGGCTCTAATTCAGCTGGCCAAATTCAACTGCAAAATGTGGGATGTTAAAAAACATTTTATACAGATAAAATTCTGCTTTTCGTTTTTCAAAATCATTGATATATAATAAGACATTGTTAAATATATACAATTGTATACAATATTTAAAAAGACATTGTTTAAAATATACTACGATTACTAATCGATGTGGTCCTGTAAAAAAAACTCTAAAGTGTAAGTTTATAAGTAAAAACTTCCTAAAAATGTTAAAAAAAACGATGTCTTAAATGTTTTTTCACCAAGATTAAAACAAAATATTGAAAAGTATCCATTTTTTACCAGAATGACGGTACCAGTTTGGCATCATCTTCTCAAGTAATTTTTCATGATTTTATTATTTTAAATGGCATCTGGCATCAGCCTTTTCAACAACACACATGTTGACATTTTAAGGCAGGAAAAGCACAGGTGTTAGTACTCACATGAACTGTTTCTTCTATATTTATTTATTTTGGAATAACAATAAAATAGAAAACACAAATACCCATTGACCTACAAGACATTATACTTGGACAGCACATTATTTTATGACAGATTGAGTTGCTGTTAATGAGTGCAATATGTTCTGGTTGTGGTTGTTTTAAAATAATGTTTTTATATATGTTAGTATATGTATTTCTAAGAGTATTAGGGGCTGTGAGTTTCAGGAGCTAATACCTAAATGCTGCTTCTGATGGTTTATCACAGGTTTATAATTTACAAAGGCATTCAAATGCTGCCATTATATTGTGTAATAATTACTATAAACTGTTTTAATATGCTGTGTCTGAGGTGGATCCAAGACACAAGATATTTTGTTTTGTTGTTCCATTTTATCACAAGGCTTTGTTAATGGATTATTATTTTTCTCCCGTGCGTCTCCGGCATTTGCGTAAAGTAGGTTATTCCCTTATTTGAGTTTAGGGAAGTTAAGACGTTTGGGAAAAAAACCTCAGCTGTCAGTCTTGAGCACTCATAAAGACGACAAATAACACATACACAGCTCTAATGAAGGAGTTCACTTTGATATTTCCTCATTAAAACGTAACCTGAAGTAAAACAGTCTCCCATGCGGTGGTATTCATAACTCAAACATATGCAAATAAGATGGGGAATCTGCATCAAACAAACAGAAAAACATTTTAGTCAACTATCACCAGGGGACAAGGTGCTTTGATACGCGCCCTACTGCCGGAGCAGCAGAGGAATCTGAAGAGCGTTCACAGCTCCTCAAAGGTTTAGAGGTTTTATTCCTCTGCATTGTGGCCCATCTCCACCTAAACAAAAGCTGCATCACATTTCCATCACAAAGAGACATTGACAAACAATAAAAGAGGAATATTTGTCATGTGAGTGGGAAGAAGATTGTTTATTATACTGAAATAATGTGTTCCTTGTATTGTCACAGTATAATAAATCCTTAAATATAATATGTACAATTTGGGTTTTCAAATCGGCTATTAAAACCACAGTCAAGGTCACATTGTATTCTCATATAATAAACTTTATTTTATTTAAGATCTTTCCATCACCAACTTACTCTTAAATATTACACATTTTTATCAAAAGTGATTGCAGAACATAGCTCATGCCTACAATCGCTTGAATGAACATCACCCTGTACATTAGATAATCTGTAATCCAAAGGTAAACATAAAAAGAAAATTATTTCTTTAACAGCCATTCTGTCATGTCTCATACATATCAATGCGCGACCAGTCAAATCTATCACATTTATTGCTGATCTCGCTCACGCTGTGCAACTATGAACACTTGAAAAATACAATTCCAAATGTGGAACAATTGGTTCAGCAAAAGTGGGAAACATGTGTTCTACATCTTATAAGTGTTGGCCAAAAATGAACGAGCAATTAAAAAAAAAAAAAAAAGCAGTATAATCACGTGCATTGTAAATAATTAGTGTCAGCAACACCACTTTGAAGTTTTGAGTTAACTTTTAAAAATGGCTCTTCATGCAGCAAACAAAAATTCACATGAAAGGCTAGTGTACAGACCTTTTACCCTACAATGTTCTATTACAAAATGACAGTAAACAGCAAAGAGTGTTTGTAATTTGATAAATGAACCGTACCAAAATTAAATATTCACAAACACTCAATTACAAAAATTACAACATCCATGGAAAAGTTACCCTCCTGCAACACTGTATGTGTAGGATGTACACTGAACAAAAATATAAACGCAACACTTTTGTTTTTGCTCCCATTTTTCATGAGATGAACTCAAAGATCTAAAACATTTTCTATATACACAAAATAACCATTTCTCTCAAATATTGTTCACAAATCTGAAAAAAAAATCTGTGATAGTGAGCACTTCTCCTTGGCCGAGATAATCCATCCCACCTCACAGGTGTGGCATATCAAGATGCTGATTAGACAGCATGATTATTGCACAGGCGTGCCTTAGGCTGGCCACAATAAAAGGCCACTCTGAAACGTGCATTTTTGTTTTATTGGGGGGGTCGGGGGGGTCCGAAAACCAGTCAGTATCTGGTGTGAGGGGTAGGGTTAGGGTTAGGGTAATGTTGTGAATTAAGTGGCCCATGGTGGTGGTGGGTTTATGGTATGGGCAGGCGTATGTTATGGACGACGAACACAGGCCACTCGATTCACAACATTACCCTAACCCTAACCCTACCCCTACCACCAGATACTGACTGGTTTTCGGACCCCCCCAGACCCCCGCAATAAAGCAAAAATGCACGTTTCAGAGTGGCCTTTTATTGTGGCCAGCCTAAGGCACACCTGTGCAATAATCATGCTGTCTAATCAGCATCTTGATATGCCACACCTGTGAGGTGGGATGGATTATCTCGGCAAAGGAGAAGTGCTCACTATCACAGATTTTTTCAGATTTGTGAACAATATTTGAGAGAAATGGTTATTTTGTGTTTATAGAAAATGTTTTAGATCTTTGAGTTCATCTCATGAAAAATGGGAGCAAAAACAAAAGTGTTGCGTTTATATTTTTGTTCAGTGTATATTCAAAACAATATTCTATTTGCCCTTAAAGTAACCCAGACTATGCATTTAAAATACAGTACCTAACTCATGTAGTATGCAGACCTGTTTTACACACACAAATCAGAAATCTGCTTGTACCTCACATAACTTAAAGTTACGCATGCACACTTACATTACTATTAAGATCTTTATATTAAAGAAACAGAACTTTTCTGTCTATAAACACAAAATTAGCATAAAATACAGTACGTGGAGAGGTGATGGGCTTATTGAAAAGTATCATGTAGTAATGAAAAGGTTCTTAGTGGTATGATTTAGGTTGATAAAAGGTCAACTAAATTACTTACAGTAATGCCCCTTAAATGTAGAAAAAAAAAAAATTCTGAACAGACTTAGCCTTTTCAATTCAGTACCTTAGCTTCACATGGTACCACTGTCCAGTCCAGGTGTTTAGCTGCTTAGTGTTTCCAGTACTATCTCCTGTTGAAGAGGTCTTTGCGTTTCCGCAGCTCCTCCAGCACCCGGGCCCTGAACTGGGTCCAGTCCTCGTTCTGGAGCTGCTGGACGCCCAGGGCCACATGGAGCTCTTCAGATTGGCTCCGCAGGAAAGGATTGTACTGCTTTTCTTCTCCGATAGTGGAGGGACACTGGAAATAAAGCGCGTGTTAAAAAAAGAAACCCTCCTCAAAATGAATGTAGTCTCAATGACTCGTATGTCATTCATTCACAGAACAGGATTGTGTACCAAGTGGTTCCTGCCAACTAAAACCACCACTGCATTGCATTTCTGTATCTCTGCCTTTTAGTCAATAATAAATCACATTTTAACTTTCCCCTTTTATGCATTTAATTGAGAATACTCCACAATGATTGCCAATCCTTATAATACAACTCTAACTAACCAAAGTTAAAAAGCAGGGAAACAAGGAGTTAATGTTTTACTAGGAATTTGCTATTATCTTCCCTAATGTAAAGCTCTCATTCGTCTTCTGCAAAATAAGCAGTCAAGGAGCAAGAAGAGCTAAAGTTGCTAATTTGTTAACATGTCACTTGTGGGTGAAAGCACAGATGTAATTATTAACTTAATGACGGCTGTTGTTGTGCATGCTTTCTCACTGTCACAGCTTACTAGGACACTCGAAATAACAGAACCATTGTTGATGTTATTAGTAACACCTTTGCTTTTCCTGCTGTGACAAGTCAAAATTTCTGCCGCAGAAAAGCCCTTTTATTACCGATGTGTGAAACTGCCTCTAGTGCCATGCTGTATAGATGGCAGATAAAAACTCATCTAAATTCTGGATAGGCACTTCACTCAACAGTGAACCTTTGCTCTGCTGCAGATGAGACTTGAGTGTGAGAGCCCGGGAGAACAGCGCTGTGAAAGCAGGTGATAAAGCTTTCTTTCCAGGTGCTGAATCCTCTCTGGGATGGCGTGCTATGGAGGCATAACACAGGCCATAGATCATTCTCACCGTGCACAGCTTCTGGGCACGCTGCAGCAGCACCCACTGAGATTTGTTTTCCCTGGCAGCGTTACGAGGCTCGACCTCAGCAGCAAACAGGAGGTTGTCCTCAGCATATTCATGACCTGAGGAAAAGCCATGGGACACAGAAATAAAGTTTACATGCACAACGACACTTAAACGTTTCGAGCCTCCCAAAAGCCCTTTATGGGACTTTATAAAAAATGACTATGGAGGTACAGAAATGAAGCCAGAGCAACACATTTAAACCACATCTACATCACAAAATGTTCCTACCAGGCCATAATAAAGTTTCATCACTTAAGGAGGCGACTGTGTCCAGAGATGACAGCATTGTTGTGGAACTACCTTCGAACGTTCTCCCTGAAAACAAGAACAGGTTGTTGTTACTAATCTTAACTTAACAGGTTATGTGTTTAATCAAGCCTTAGAAGGTAAACTATCTGAATGTTAGAAGACTGCACTTTAAAATTAAAATACTTAAAATTGTTCAAATAGTGGAGAGAAAAAAACATTTTCCGAGGTCATGAAGGTTGTTAATCCATACTGGAAATGGAAAGTGAAGTCAGTCAAAGTCAACATTATTGACAATCTTCTGTGTGTTAGATACAGACAGGGATATCGAAATGCTGATTCTCACAATCCAAAGGAATACAAGTTTAAATATAGAAAGATACCTACATAATCAAACATAAATATCATATCACAAATTCCCACATTAAGGGGCATCAATATAAAATAAAAATATATTTACGTAAAATAAATTGCAATTTTTTTTAAATCAAGCTGTGTTTAATAGCTGGTTGCTGGTTAGTAATTGTAACTTTGCCCTGCAGTACTCCAAAGAGTACACAAGATGCTGATATTGCATAATGAAACAAAACAACACCACCCATTATTATAGTTCAGACCTGCGGATCACATGTATTTACATTATCTTTAACTCCAGGGGATGGGTGTGTAAAACAATATAGGTAATAACAAATGAATTAATAACAAGACATGGCATTGTCAAGGCCCTGTTACATTTGAAAGCAAAAATTAACGTGCATGGTTTCACTACTTGCATGTAATAGCAGTGTAGAGAAAGAATGACAGTGATATGCATTGGACATTAGTGCCCTGTGTGTGTTTGTATTTTCGTGTGTGTATAAGCATCCAAAGGAGGCATATGAGCCAGCGCTATGAATTCAAAATGCATTCCCCGTACAAGACATATAGGAGCTGTACAAAACTACCATTCTTGAGGTCTTACATTTAGATAAGCCGCTAGGTATCTGCACACTGCACATGTTGGATTCTAACATAGAGATAATCCAGTACAGAATAGACTGCTCATAAGTACTCTACCTTTACCCTCCCACACTCCTGAATGCCTGTTTCACAGGATGGTTTGTGGTTCTTAAAATATCATTCTATATAAAAAAACAATCAGGAGAAATAATTACATATTCAAGTCTACTTTTTCACGGGTAGATTTCTGCATGAGGACCATAATGCATATCTGACTGTATCCAGCACATTATTTAGCTTAGCATTAGCAAAAAAACAATTCACTATGACCTTGTGGCCCCATTAAGTGGTACAAAGAGTCACATTATGTGTAGAAGGACTCTACAGCAAACATACACCCCACAGAGGTTCTCTTTTACTGTGTGTCATGTGATTCACATAAACTCGTTTTTTCACTGCTGTATGATTATCTTTATGATGGATCCCCCCTTCTGTTACTCACCACATCCGGAGAGGAACACCAGGTCACCGGAGAAGAGGCTGGATGGGGCGTCGACCGTCTGGCCGTCCAGGAGGTAGATCATGTGACCCACTGTGTGTCCCGGAGTGAAGAGGGCTTTAAAGTGCAGACGGCCCACTGTTACTGAATCCTTGTGTGAGAGAGGGCTGGGAAAACAAACAAACAAACACTGGAAATGACTACCTTGCAGTTGTTTGCCTCCACCAACCAGTCAGGTTTTAGTTTACTGACAAAAATGGCATTGCATCATTCTTTTATCCTTTTCAACATTTGAGTGAAGTTGTCTTAATTAGCATATACATTCTGTTATGGTTTATGTAGGGGAATTGGACATCATCACTGGGGGAAATACACTTGAATCCAGTGGTTTGGACGATGTTGAGCTTAGGGTAGCCACATACTTCAGCAGTTTATACGGAACAGTTCATCATACAATGATAATGCACCGTGCAGTCAGCTGCTTCCATTGCTAACAGAGGGGACAGGATGATTCTGTGCAAAGCCGTGTGAGCGGTGACTTACTGCGTGAGGCCAGGAATGTTATCAGCGGTGTTTCCGTATACTCTGCATGAGCTGTGAATCCTTTTCAACCCTTTGTTTCCCCCACTGTGATCCCTGTCAATAGAACAGAAAGCCGACGTTTGCCAGTATTGTGGACACATTCAAATATTGCGCATTGCTCCTCGTGTTTTTATACAAAAACTCACCAATGCTTGTGTGTGCAGAGTATTGCTTCGAGAGTCACTCCCTCTTCCTCAAGAACTGCCTGAAAGATTACAAATGCTGTCACAACCGTCAATTACCATATTAAAGATAACCTCAGGAACACTGTATTCAAAAGCCTTTTGAGCTGCAAAATACTTCAGTCTATTGACACAGTACAGCAATGGCAATTTTGCTCGTGGGATTGTAATGGATGCTTCTGAGAATGCAATAACGTTGATATCTCACCCTTGGCAGCACTTCAGAGGTGTGGTAAACCTACATCATTTAACTGAATTTGAAAGCAATCATTTATTTCAAGGAGATCTAGAAAATATTATAACTGTCTTCGGCAGTGTGTAAAGCAAACATGAAGGTGTAATTGCAGAGGATCTGCATAGTTTCATGGATATAAAAGCACCTTACAGACAAAAGAGTCTTTGAAGTGTTACATAAACACAATGCACACATCTGACAGTAGAGGCATTCACCTGCACTTTTTGAGGGTCTGCAGGGTCTACAACGACTGCAACACTGGAGGCTGTGTCGATCACAAGGTAGCTGTAGTTGTCAGAGAGCACCGGAATGGGAATAATTTTAATACCTGCGGGCAGACAAATCAGGATAACAAAATTAAGTATTTGGGTCAATATTAAACCTTATTTATTTAGAATGATCAAAATAGACTATTAATGTTAATGGTATGTAATTAAATGATAGCACATTTGCACTGACAATAACACAATATGCTTGTATACTGTACACCACATGCACTGTGTTTGGTTTGAACAAACAACCGTCTTACAAAAATGAAGGAGTAAGAGCAACACTGTGTACAAAAAGTAACCTGTAAATCCAGACTACTGCTTACCATTGAACTCCATTGGCTGAGATGTGGAGTGTCCAGCAGGGTACTGTTCTCTGGCTTTCCTCATTTGCCTCTTGTAGTACAAGTAGCCAAGTCTGGTCTTAGTGTAGAGTGTGTACCTGGGAAATAGTGCACAGGTTTAAGTGGCAAGCATTAATAATGCTAACCTAACCACAACATGAAGTTATCATCTTTCTAAATGACAAGGAGGTCACACGTACCCAAGTGAAACATCTACAAATGTACAATGGTGCTAAAAGTACTCAGATGTTTTACTTAAGAAAAGTAGCAATACTTAATTGTAAAACTACTCAAAAAACAGTAATTCAAAAATATGACTTAAGTAACAGTACAAAAGTATATTGGCCTCAAAATATGCTCAAGTACCAAAATGCCTAGTACACGTTATGCCTAGTGGCCCATTTCAGAATCATAACATTACATTAGAGATTCAGATCATTGATGCATTAATGTGTTTATAACAAATCGTAAATGTAGAGCTAATTCGAAATACATGGTATACTGCTTTTGAATACCCTAACTTATATATATATGTTTAGTTATTAGTTGATTTATTTAAACCAATGTAGTATGTACCAACTAGTAACTTAAGCTGTCAAATAAATGTAGTGTAGTAAAAAGTACATTATTGGCTTTCGAAATGTAGTGGAGTAGAATAATAATAAAGTAGCATACAATTGGAATACTCAAGTAAAGCCCAACTATATCAAAATGGTACTCAAGCACAATACTTGAGTAAATATACTTCATTACATTCCACCACTGCAAATGTAGTATGGCCAAAGCGCTAACTAGCTACACCAGTAAAACCATAGGATAAAATACCAAAACATATCAGAGTGTGTTCTATCAAAGCAGCACAAGATAGTAGTAGATCATGCAGAAGAATCTGATCTTGCAGATATAACTTTTCTGTTTGTATGTACGCCGAATAAAACAGTTACTGATGTCGTTTAAGGAAATGCTTCGACCAGACTGTCAGGGGTAGAACTTTTGACGACTGGCAAAGTGGCTTAAATGTGGAGAATAATTGAATACAGTCCGGTGGGTCGGCCTCTGAATAAGAATGACAAGATGTTGCTCAGCTACGCTAGCGAGAATCACTGCAATGAAAACTAAACATGTTTATATTAAGAAGGTCATAATATACTCACGCGATTCGGAACAACGGCTTCTCTGTGCGGGCCATTATGTTGCTGAATACTTTTCTCCAATGCACTTGTACTTTGCGTCTGTGGCGAACACATAAACATAAGAAACAGAAGAAGGATGCGGTGGCAACCAGCGTTACCATCCAGTCAGGAAGCGCCATAGCCCCTAAGCGGAACGTAATGACGTTTCATGGGACACGCACACCCCGGAAGCGAGGAGATAAATAAAACAAATACAATACAGCGATATCGTTTTCATAATGAATTATTTTAATTTGTCTTAAAGACCTTAAATTAATAAAAAATAAATGTATGTAAAAAGCCCTAGCCTTTTGTTGTAAATACTTTAATTTATTTAATTCCTTTAATGTCTTGTGAAGTTCTGCTTTGTTTATTATTGGCTTCTGTATGCACCTGTCCCTTTTTCTATTTTTTTATTTGAAGACTCTGAAAGCCATGTTAAAGAATAATTAAGAAAATAAATCAATACTGTTGCAATTGTAAACCATGTTTATTTTTATTTTATATCTCACATCCATGGAATCTATGGTCTATGGAAGTTAATTTTTGCCACCAAAAGGGGAAAAATAGTCAAATTAATTCTGAGTAACTGTCTCAAAATGATGACTTTGCATCATAAGATAATGAGAAGCGTTCTTAAAAAAGACTCACTATTTCATTAGAGCAAAAACAACCATCAGATAGCAGTAATAATGATTAGATAATTAAATTATAATAATGAGATAGTAAATGGTGGAAATTGGCTTCCAAAATATGCACTGTGTACTTCTAATGTTTTTCCTTTCCCCCCCCAAAAAAATGTGTTGTTGTTTCTCTCTATGACACATTCATTTTTAGAAATTATTTTGAGCTTAATTAACCCTGTTCCAAAATTAACCCCACCTCCACAAAAAACATGTTTGTTTTAATATTAGCCCTGCGTTAAAGTGACTAATCTATACAGAATGATACATCTATGCTACAACAAAATTCCACCTTAATTAAATAATGAATTCATAGTATGACGTCAATATGGAATCAAGCCTGTTTCAGTAGACTTCTAAATAATATAGCAACACTTAACATTCCTGCTATGACATTGGTTAACTTTATAGGCTACAGCTCTAAGTCCGACAATACAGTCAACAATTGGGTCAACTAAGATGTGAATATGATTTTGTACAAAAAAATCCTCAGGAAGAATGCTTAACATGGTAAAAATGAACTCATTGTTAGGAGATGTTTTACCTAGTTGTGTGTAGGACAGTCTGTGGTGTTGGTTTTTCAGTTGTATTTTTATTATTTTGAGTAGGAACCTGAGCAACCGGAGTGCCCATGCTTTCTAAAACACATCAGTGTAAGTTTCAGTGAACGTATCCTATTACAGGGATGCCATCCTCCCGTGGTGAAGCTTAAGACTGCATACCCCAAGAGAGAAAGGACGAAGGCACCACTGATCCCATCTCAGGCTAAAGCCAACAGGTGAGTACAATTTCTTTCTTTTATAGTTTTGATTGATGCATGTTTTTATTTCCATCATTGTCCTCATATAATTTGTTAACCACCAATAGGTTGTTTTATATGGTGTATTTATTTGTTCACATGCAGAGTTGGTCCAGCACATAAATAAAACAAAAAAGTTCACCTTTGTTGGTTGTGTTGTAGTTTTTGTGCACATTATTTGATTGAGCTATTATAACAATGAAAGTATAAGAGTTGATAACATTTCATTTAATAACTGTTTAACAGTATGAACAGATATGAGTAGCAAGTTAGATGTTATGGCTTACCTTGTATATTAAGATAAGATAAGATAAGACTTTATTTATCCTGAAGGAAATTGTTGTGCCAGAATGACAAAGATACAATAAACACAGTAGCATAATAACAGAACTGTACACCATTCTATTGTCAATATGCCATCTGTTGATGACATGTATAATTCTGCTCATCAACACTTATTCTCTCAACAGGGTAAGATCATGACTTCTAAAACTGATGATCCTCCACCTTACGAGGATGCAGTTCACCAACCTAAGTATGGAAACTACCCCAATCAGCAGCAAGATGGCTCCCCTCTTCCACCACCTCCATCTTACAGCCCCAGCCCCGGCCCTCCAGGCTACTGGGGCCAGGAAGGCGTCTACCCGCAGGCCGGGACGTGGGCAGCCCCTGGCTACTCTCCATCTCGGAGGCCCACCACAATACCGACTCTGTCTGCCGGAGTGCATGCATCAGACCAAGGTTCTGTGGATATGTTACAAGACGTTGTTGATGAAACCATGCATTATATTTAGATAACTTCCACATTTAATAAGTATAAATGATAATTTAACTATCCCAATTCTGCAGGAGACATGGATGACTTTATGAGCTCGCAGTGGGAAAGCACAGCTGTTCGGCATTCCTTCATTAGAAAGGTAAATATATATATTTGTTTATCAAGTGTTTCTGTGCCAATGATGTCATGTAGGCTTACGCCACTGAAATGTGTTCTTGTGTGCTCAACAGAACTGCTTGGTTTTGTGTTTGTGGGCAGGTTTACTTGATTTTAACAGCACAGCTTGCCGTCACCTTTTCAGTTGTCGCTGTCTTTACATTTGTGTAAGTGTCCCTGTTCATTGTATGCAGTATAATATATTCCAAAGCTTAATGTATCTGATGTTGATGAGGAGCATTTCACTCTGAGTAATCCCTATGTCTTTGCTGTCATAGTAAACCAGTGAGGCTGTTTGTCATCAGATATCCTGGCATCTACTGGGCATCTTTGTGAGCTACACTCTAGGAAGAAAACAAAAAACATCACCATTTTCAGTCCAATTAGATTTAAACCTTTACATAAACATCACTGTACTTCCATGGCATGCTGTTAAATACAATCACATTAATAGTGTTTTTTTTCCTCCATAGTGTGGTATATTTTATGGTTTACTGCATTCTTGTCTGCTGCAAAGGACCGAGGTAAGCATGTCCTGACATTACTGATCCAGTGAGAAAATCATTTTACTACTGATAATGTCATGTGTTATTCATATTTGACACCATTGTTGTTCAGGAGGCGTTTCCCATGGAATCTTGTGCTGCTGGGGGTATTTGTAAGTATTCTTTGTTAGAGTGTGTATGAGCTAGTAGATCGATATGGATAAACTAAAAACCATAATATAACTGGAAGAATAAAAACCAAACAAAGAAAGGCAGTAAGATAGAAAAAACAAAACATTTTCATTCATGTTTTATGTTGCAGACTCTGGCCTTGTCTTACATGTCTGGAACAATTTCGAGGTTTGTTTTTTCACTCCAGTTCAAGCAATAAACTGCAATATAAACAGTACATATTTGATGATTTCACCCTGATATTTTATGTTTTGATCGCTATGTGTCTTTTACAGCTATTATGAAACAAAGGCAGTGTTTCTGGCCATGGGAATAACAGCAATAGTTTGCATCGCTGTCACAATCTTCTGCTTCCAAACCAAGGTAGATGTAGATGTGAACTGCGCCTCTCTGTAGCTCAGTAGCCCGTGTCTGTCAGAGGATGTCTTTGTTGTCAGTGTAAAAGAACTCCTTTGTCTCGCGTTACAATGGGGCACTGGGTTCCTTTAAATATTTATAACATTTCAGGATAAGATGTGAATCCAACTTCTCTGTCTGATGCAACTGCAGATGAATGAATTACATGTTTTGCCTGGAACATGACATATCTACCGAATAACAATTCTTTCAAACGATTCTGACTGCTCTTTCATGTGGCTTGAAGCCTATTACCTTTACTTTCATCCCGTTTCTCCTCACAGGTGGACTTCACCTCCTGCGGGGGACTTCTCTGCATTGCGTCCGTTGTGCTCATGATCATTGGGATTGTTACCGGCGTTGTCCTGTCTTTCCAATATGTGAGGACTCTGGTCAAATGTATTCTCTCTACTCTGGGTTTCTCAGTGTGAGGAATATCAGCTCAGGGTGTTACTCTGCGACTGATTTCACATTCACAGGCCTTTCTTATGTCACTCAACAGGTTCCGTGGTTGCATATGCTCTATGCTGCAATTGGAGCCGTCATTTACACTCTGGTGAGTTTACTCTCACATGAATTTGTAGGAGAGTGTTTTTGAGTCTTGTATCTATTGTTGTCAACACATCATTACAAGTGAGACCTATCAACCAGCTGAAAATTGGATTTCTAGAGCCTTAATCCATCAGGTTTGTCTTGGTTTTTGTGTAAGAAAACAAGGCCATTAGTAACATTTATCAACATTTAATTAAACATGATCAGTGAATTTCATTGTCATTTTACTTCTAGATCTTTAAATATCTCTAGCCAAGTTTGAGGCACTGGTGGGATGGCTGTCAGAAGCTACTTCTACCACTCACTTTAGTCCAAAATAGAATAGCTTGATGACTATTGGATCCGCTGGTGTCAAATTGTGTAGAGACATTCATGGTTCCAGGGGTGTATCCCAAAAAAACATTTAATTCCCTCCCACCTTTCCTGTAGTAGGTCAAATATTTCAAAATACAGTTGATGATTGGCACAAAAATACATGGATGTATCTAAAGGGCCCTAGTGGTATTTTACTCCTACCACCATCATTTCATAATTTGTATTTATTCAATACTAACTTTCAAAAATATTGGCATTACCATGGCCTCAGGTTTACTTTGTATATCAGCAACATTAGGTATGTCTTTGCTAAGATGGTAAATATTAGCCCGTTTTAGCACTTTGCTCAAAGCCACTAATGTAGGCCTAGATGTAAACTTGAGGCATCTTGTATGGGCTCAGAACAGTCTCATAATACACACATGCACACAGAAGGATTCACACTTGTATTTCATGATCCGCAAAAGGATTCAAACTTGTATTTCCGGATCCACACTTGTGTTTTTCAATGCACACACAAATGTGTTCCGTTTCATATACATGTAAATAAAATCCAAATACTGACATTTTTTTACATATGTATTTTTGATCCTCACATATTTGCTTTCCGTTAAAAACCTTTGAACCTGCAAACACAAACCGCTTTCTGTGCACGGATCGCTGTGCATTCGTGTGTGGGTTTTTTTTAGACTCCCCTGACGCTCAGCCGATTCGTACTTGTAATTTTTTCTATCTATAGTCAATCAGATGTCTCCTCAATTCTAAGCCAATCACATGAGCGCGCCCCCAC